CCGCCCCACGGCGGCGGCCCACCCCCCCCGGGGCCCCGCCGGTTCTGCCACGGCCGGGCTACTGCGCCGAGTCCCCGCAGAGAGCCCCCCTGGCAGCCCGTACCCAGGTCCTGGACCCACGCGTCACTCGTGGGGGACAAGGGGCACTGCTCGCTATGGGGGAGGGGAGGCTGCAGGGGGGCCAGGCGCTGCGAGAGCGTGGGGAAGGAGCTGCCTGCTGCTGCGAGCTGCAATCCCTTCACGCCCACTCCAGCCCCTAGTTGAGGGGCTGCCGCCTTGGGGCTCACAGGGGGAGCTGGAGGGGCCCAGAGCAGAAGAGAGAATCTCAGGAAGCTCCGGGAAGAAAAAAACGGCACAAACTACTTGCGCACCAAACCTCCATTAGCACCTGTGGCTTCTCCATGGAGACCCAGGCCAAGGACAGCCTTCTAGAGGCCCTTTTCACCCTGTGGCTGAAGGCTTTTTGGTCTCCTTTTCCTGTTACCACCCAATTGAAAATCAAAAAGGGATTCTGTCAAACCGCAGAATGCTGTTTGGAAAACACCTCTATCAACAGGCTGCTGCCTTGGGCGGAAAACCAAGAAACAATTTAATAGGGCTAAAAACAAAGATTTGTGCAAATAAATACAGGGTGGTGAGAATGTGGGCTTGATCATAGACCTCCTGGAAAAGACCTGGGGTTTTAGCAGATGGAAAAGCCAGTGTAGGTGAAATAAGACTGCTAAAACGCCTAAAGAAGTCAACACAGGTGTGGTTTGGGTAGGGGGAAGTGGGAGTGACTCTATTGACCAGATCATATCCGGAATACTGTGTTGGGTGTTGGCTGGTACATCTTTGAGGGACATTAACAGGCTTTAGCAACATCTGTGGAAGGGACAAAGATGGTGAGGACCTGTTTTATGCCATTGCATGGTACTTGGCACTGTGGGGACTACAAGATGAAAAATGCACAATCCCAAGAGAGCAATGGAGGTTCCAAGCTTACAAGGTGTTATAATACAGGAGAAAATAAAATGGGGATTACAATAGAGATAGCAAAAGTGCTGGAGGAAAGTAAAGAAAGAGTAATTACCTCAGCATCGAGCCTCATGTACGTGCCCACAAAGTGCCACTGGGCTCTGTACCCGAGTCAGCTACTCCTTTTGGCTCTGTTAAATAGATTTATTCAAGACTTTTTAGGTTTTTGCCACAGGGCAAAAACCTGTGAGAGAGACAGAAGAAAAAGCCAGAAATCACCCCTTGGGGTTGGAGGGGTGGCCACACCACAATCCCTTCTCCATTCTCCTTTCAAGTTTGGAACACGCAAGTGTGCACACATGTTTCCTGTGTGATTTTCAAGCCACTAGGTCGGGCAGTCAGGTTGCAGTTGGGCATGTGGGAATCCAGCACCTTAACCACCACATCACCAACTAGTCCAGTCAAGACTTTTTTTAATAGGGCTCTTTAGATAGGGGAGAGAGATTTGAGTACAACTTGGCAAATAGCAAAAGCAGCTGAGGACTTATAGCCAAAGTACAGAGTGAGGGGGTCAATGTATAGAAAATCACTAACAGGCAACATCAAGAGTTGGGACTGGGGCAGTTCTCCCTAACCTGATTTAGCAGGATTCTTGCTAAATCAAAGCTAGGCAGGCCCAAGACCAGAAGACCCAAAACTATTTAGCAAATTACAAACAACAACAACAAACACATTTAAAACAAAAAGAAAACCATGTGTTCTGGGGCTGTTCCCATGGCCTAGTGGTTAAGGGAGCTGGATCCCACATGGCTGATCCTGGTTCAAATCCCAGGTCCTTGTGCCTGGGTCAGGTGTGTGTGCTCAAAATCCCAACAGGGTGGAGAAATGGAGAAGGGATTGCCATGTGACCACAGGGAAGCTCTTTCTCCTTCTCTCTGACCAGCATACATGCTTTCTGATATTTAAAAAAGAAAAAGCCACGTAGTCTGTAAATTATGGGTGGATTATTTTTAGAGATTTTTGCTATAAAAATGTGTGTGGGGAACCAGCAGTTAGCGTAATGGCTATGTCGCTGGACTCCCATGTAGTTGACCGCGGTTCGTGTCCCGGACCCGGTGGCTTAAAACTCACGCCAGGCACATGTGCATGCGTGCCCAAGATCCCAAGAGGAGAATGGAGGAGAAGGGATTGTGGCGTGACCATCCCCCCTGGGGAGTGATTTCTTGCTTTCTGTCTCTATGTCTCTGTCTGGCGAGCGCACGCGCCCTATAGCAAAAAATATATATATATACCTCTCCAAAAATGTGTGTGCGCTCTCTGAAGAGAGAAAGTGAGAAATCACCCCTTAGGGGGGGATGGCCACACCACAATCCCTTCTTAATTCTCGGGATTTTGGACTCACATGCACACCTTCCTGGTGTGAGTTTCAAGCCTCCAGGTCCTGGACTTGAACTGAGGTTGGCCATGTGGGAGTCTAGCACCTTAACCACTACAGCACCTGCTGGCCCCAGTTATGACTGGATTTAGGAATGTTCAAAGGTAAAGTTTACACAGGCTTGTTTTCTTATGCAAATCCTGCTTCTCTGTAATTATTAAGAATGTGATAGAAAAGGTGGCCTAGACATTGGCCTTGAAAGTTAGATAAAATTTTAAGAGGAGGAGGAAAGGCCTCAAAAGAGAATTCAAGAGGACAAGCTATTGTAGTTATCCTTGACTATTTCATGGTAGAGAGGATTATACTTCCCTGTTACTCCAGAAGGCAGAAGTTAAGTTCCTTCATCATGCCCTACCCTCTATATGGGGAAGATTTCTGTTCAGATTTAGAGAACTTTCCTATGCCTCCATGAAAGGCTGACTGGAATGTTGTGAAATCAGTCCTCATCCTTCTAATAGGAATTAATTGCTTCTTACTCTGGACTCTCGACTGCATTCTCCCACACGGTAGAGCTGGTATGTGGCTGTCTTCACCACTAGCTTCTCCAGTCCTCTACCTTTAATCATATTTGCATATGCCCTGAAATTGCTGGAGATTACACAGGATTAACTGACTAAGGACGCAAGTGGCAATTTAATAATCAGTCTCCAACATAGAACTTTATATGTAGTAAATGTTCAATAAATTCTTGCAAAATCTGATTGAATAAAACAAGTCACTCACATCTAGGGATTCTAGGGAGATTCCTGCAATTTCAAAGTCATTTCATGGCTATCATGAAATGCTGTGTTCTCCA